CATATTAAAAAAAAAAAAAAAGATGTTCCTCACCGATAATAAGTGCTCTTAGTGAGTGATGTAATTTGATGTGATGTCTTTTATATCAACTTATTTATTTTATGTTTTTCTTCTCAAAAATTAATTCCTTATGCCTTTTTAAACTTTTGTTTCATGCTATTCCCAGAACTTTGTTAAATAAAAAACTTTGTATTTAAAAAATCTCACTTTTTCCTCATGAGAAATATTACTTGGATATGCTGTAAAACTATATGCTATTTGCAGGCTTAACTGCAATATTTTTAATTATATAATTTTTTTTCACATAAAACATTATAACCCAATTCTAAATGAGTGATTTCATAAAAGGTATGAATAAAAAAATCATTGGAATGAGGATGGAATAGAAACCTCATTAGGACAGCAGTTGATGTGTGTGGTTACCCTGAGAAAGGACTGCTCTTTAATTGCAAACCACAATAATCCTGCTAACCTTAACACCTAAGCCCCAGGAAGTAATGTCCCTAATTCGGTCTACACTGATTTTTACTTTGGCAAGTTCTGTCTTGATTGGGTGTAACTTGTTCTATATTATTGTAGAACTCTGTTTAGGATTATAATATGTGTTTTTTTAAAACTTTGTTTTGATATTTAAGGGACAAAATGAGTGTCTGGTCAGGGTGTAGAGCAATTTACTGCCTGTGATGTTGAAAGCTTATACTTGTTTTCCTTTCTTTTTCCTGAACACATACTATTTCTTCTAGAGCAAGATTTTCCTTTTTTTTGTAGTTATGATGTTCACCTCTTGAGAAGTGTAGCCATAACAGTCTATTAATCGGATAGATTTTTAAGATTGTACTCTTGGAAGAAATAGTGACGGGAAATTGCTGGTGATAATGAGACTGATTGAAGCCAGAGGTTTAATTAGTGCTAACAGACAGACTTTATCATGTGGAGCACTTCCATCTTCAACTTGAGAAAGAATTGCCCTCTGCCATGATTACAACAGGATTTGAGCTCCTCTTTCTTTCCTTCCATGTCTTTCTCCCTAAAATCGGCTAATAGAACTTCTTTGCGTATAAAATACTTTTGGCACTAAAGTCTTCCAATTTAATTTTTCTTTCTTTCTGGAAAGCACGTTTAAGATTGCTTCCAGATATTTTGCATGAGCAAATGTAGATTTTCTAGCAACAGGATGCCTAAAATTCCTAAGTGGATTTTAAAAAAATTAATGAAATTTCATTTTCCCCGTGAAAATATTTATTTTGGAAAAATGCATGTTGTTGCACAGCAAGTGAGTAAAACTCAGATGTGAGTTCTTATCTAGCACTTCCTCTCTGGGAGTGATCCAGGGCTGACTTGCTGTGGTGCTGCTGCTTCCTTAATGAGTTGAGTGCTGTCACAGGTCAGCTTTACTATTAATAAAACAGGGACATTTATAAATGATTCACTTTTAAAAATATAAGTAAGTTAGAGAGAATTAATGTAAACCTATAATACTATCATTTAGTTTCTTCCTTTTAAGACGGAAAGGGAAAAAGGGGTGTTTAAACTCCACCCCACCTTTTAACCATCAGATGCTGCTGACTTGAATGACCTCGTTTTTGATGTACCAGCAATAGTTGTGATACTTGTCACTCTGTTTTCCTCATCCCCAAAGTTTTGTCTTGTTTTGTTTGTTAAAATTGGAGCCTGTCCCCGGAGTGGTTTTGCATGAGAATATCATCTCCCTCCCACCTCAAAACAAACAAAACACAAACAAATAATAGTCATTGCTTTGAAAGTGCTGTTAGAGTTTAAGCAAACTCTAGTTAATTACTTTCCATAGTGATGGAGCTTTTGCTAACACTTCACATTTGGTGGCTTTCTTTAGAAAGGACTCTGGATAACGTAGACTTGAAAGTGCTTGGGGGTTGGGTGGGGTGTTCTCACCTGGTCACATTGCTGTGGTTTAGAGAGAGCATGGTGACTTGGCTGTTAGGCCGTCAGCTGCCTCATTGTGTGATATTGTCCCTGCCTTTCCTCTCAGCCCGCTTAGAACAGAGAGAATGCCTGTAGCCTCTCTTAGCTTTGTAATCCACCTCAAGTGATGAAGGTCCTGATTAACAGTGTGTGTCAGGCTCCCTTTCTCAGACAAGGGGGGTGTCAGCTCCCCATTGAAGATCGGAAATGAACTTCAGGCTTGACATGGATGAGGGAGACATCATAAACCTGGCTCAACAAATTGAGCACAACTGGGTTACTATTAAAAACAACAACAACAACAAAACTTCAAGCCAATGTGCTGGTAAAAACGCCTTACATAACTAACTGCAGCAGGTTTGGGTTTCCTCTGGTTCAGGTTTTCTTGCCTCTGATAATCAAATGATCTGAAGAAGGGCGTAGAGTTTCAAGGGAGAAGCTGCATGACAGGCTCACAATAGGGCCATTCACAAGGGCCCTTTTATTAGCTTACACAGTATCTGCATCATTCTTAGTCTCTGGCTTTACTACAAGGCTCTATTTAAACTGAACCCAACTTGCAGACATAACTGATCCACGAATTACTCAATACAACCAGCCAGCTACTGTAGCCTTTTTTCCCGTTTGATAAGGGAATTTAACACAATGGGCTTTACAGATCTTAAATGACTCCATTTTCCCTGTCTTTCAGATGTGGTGCTGGTATGACCTTTTGTTCTCAATAAAATTTCACGTGGTTTGATTATATTTTTTAAAAATATAAACAAACACAATATTGATGCCCTACCCTTTTGAGTTAAAATTTAAAATCTTGTAGATGATATAGAAATGGAATTTGTCATAATATTTACACAGCTGATTTCAAAACATTAGATATTATTATTAACTATTAGATATTATTAAATCAGGCCTGAAAATATATTCTTTATTTTTGAGGAAGGTTTTGATGCAATACCTAGTAGTACTTCAGCATTACACTTCCACTTTTGTATACTTCTGGTTATTTACTGGTTTTTATGCTATTTCTACTACCACACTGTTAATACACTAATCAGGGCACAGTTGGTTAGTCCTGCATAGAGGAGGGGAAAGAACAGAGCCCTGAGGATATATTTGGTAGCACACCACACTTTGGACCCACTCCTCAGAACAGAGGCTCTCGAACTTCATTAGGAGCAAAAATTGTCAGAATGTTTGATTAAAATGCAAATGCCTGGGTCCCACCATCAGAGACTCTGATTCAGTAGGTCTGTGTGTGGGGTGGGAGAGCCTGAGAATATGCATTTTAATGAGCGCATTGTTGATTCTGTTGCTGATGGTTGTGGACCATACTGAGAACCACGATTCTGAATTCACCAGGGGATGTTTGGAATAGTGATGTTTCCCCTTGCAGGGGTTGTTGCCTCCAGGTGACTAGGTACCACCTTGACTGGAGTGGCCCCTGGTGTGATTTCCCAGAGCTGTTGGTGGAAGGCAGAGAAGGATGCCTCTAGTACTTGCAGGATTGAAGCAGCAAGCATCCTTCTCCTGGTCCACTTGCTTCCGAGGCAGGGATCCACCACAGGTATCCTGTTCCCAGGGACGCATCTCACTGGAGGCTGGCTCTAGGTACTTGGTAGTGTCATCTCATGTCCACCCCAACTTTGCATGATGAGAATTTCAGCATGGTTGTTATCTGCAGTATTTAATCCAAATTTGCATCTCTATTCTCTTCCCCAACCCCTATTCAAGTAATTTTAGCTTTTTAGAAACAAAGTTCTATGGGTGCTCAAGAAGCCTTTGGGGAACTATGAATGTAACATGTTTGTTCATTTCATGAAGATGAGAGATAGGGGAAAATGTGGTAACAACGCCACATGTTCACAGCACTTTGTCTTAGGTGCTGCTGAGTGTGTTCTGTTTGTAGCCTCTCCCTCCCCATGTGGTTGGAGGAATTTTTTATTATGACAGGTTTAATTTTTTAAAATTTACTTTTCAATTACAGTTGACATACAATATTATATTAATTTCAGGTGCACAACATAGTGATTAGACATTTATATAACTTACAAAGTGATCTCCCCAATAGTCTAGTACCCATCTGGCACCATTCATAGTTATTATAATATTGTTAACTATTTTCCTTATTCTGTACTTTACATCTCCATGACTAATCTGTAACTACCAATTTGTACTTCTTAATCTCTTCATCTTTTTCACCCATTCCCCCAACACCCCTCCCATCTGGCAACCATCAGTTTGTTCTCTGTATCTATGATTCTGTTTCTGTTTTTCTTGTTTATTTATTTTGGTTATTAAATTCCATATATAAGTGAAATCATATGGTATTTGCCTTTCTCTGTCTGACTGCTTTCACTTAGTTTAATACCCTCTACGTCATTCCGTGTTGTCACAAATGGCAAGATTTCATTCTTTTTTATTGTTGCATAATATTCCATGGTATATATGTACTATATCTTTGTCATTTATCGATGGACACCTAGGTTGCTTCTATATCTTTGCTGTCATAAATAATGCTTCAACAAACATAAGGGTGTTGGCTCAGTGGTTAGAGTGTCAGCCCATGGACTGAAGGGTCCTGGGTTCAATTCCAGCCAAGGGCACGTACCTCGGTTGCAGGCTTGAACCCTAGCCCTGGTCAGGGTGAGTGCAGGAGGCAACCAATCAATGTGTTTCTCTCACATTGATGTTTGTCTTTCTCTCTCCCTTCTACTTTCTCTGAAAAGCAATGGAAAAAAATATCCTCAGGTGAAGATTAAAAAAACACACCATAGGGGTGCATGTATCTTTTAGAATTAGTGTTTTGTATTTCTTTGAATAAATAGCCAGATGTGGAATTGCTGGGTCACAAAACTAAAGGATATACCTCTCCTATAGGCATCACCCAGTTTCCAGAGTTATCAAGATTTATCATATTTTGGGATAGCTTTTTGTATTTTCTTAAATATTGCTTATGATTTTCTAATTGGTTCCGTTTTGGAATGAATAGAACTTGAGATGATTTGCTCAGGGCCCGAGTGCAGTGGTCATGAGTAGTGATTTGTGTATGTCCTTCTCAGGAATGTGTTCCAGAAGACCTACAATTGAAAAAGAAGATTTTTGCTCAGTTAGATGGAATCATTGGTGATGATGTTGTCCTCAGCAGCTCCACCTCGTGCCTATTGCCTTCCCAGCTGTTTGCTGGATTGGTGCATGTGAAGCAGTGCATTGTGGCTCATCCTGTGAGTATGTCAAACATGGATATTGATCATATCTCATTATGCTTTTGGGGAGCAACATTTTGTTTAATCCACTAATATTTTTTAACTGCTTTGTTGAAATATAATTCATGTACCACACAATTCAAATTGTACAATTTAATGGTTTTTAGCATATTAATTTTGATTATTTTTTTAATTTATCTTTATTGTTGAAAGTATTACAGATGTGCCCCATTGACCCACTCCACCCTGCTCCCACCTCCTCCTTAGGCCTTCCCCGCACTATTGTCTGTCCATGGGCTATGCATACATACATATAAATTCATTGGTTCACCCTCCACCACCCCCTGAAATATGTCAGTCTGTTGCATGCTTCAGTGTCTCTGGATCTTTTTTGTTCATCACTTTATTTTGTTCATTATAGTCCCATAGAAGTGAGATCATGTGATACTTTCCTTTCTCTGACTGGCTTATTTCGCTTAGCATAATACTCTCCAGGTCCCTCCATGCTGTCTCAAAGGGTAAGAGATCCTCCTTTTTTTAATAGCTGCATAGTATTCCATTGTGTAAATGTGCCACTGTATTTTAACCCATCTCCTAATGGGCACTTGGACTGTTTCCAGATCTTAGCTATTGTAAATTGTGCTGCTATGAACATAGGGGTGCATAAGTTCTTTCTGATTGGTGTTTAGGGTATCTAAGGATATATTCCTAGAAGTAGGATCACTGGGTCAAATGGCAGGTCAATTTTTAATTTTTTGAGGAAACTCTACATACTTTTCCATAGTAGTTGTACCAGTCTGCATTCCCACCAGCAGTGTACTATGGTTCCATTTTCTCCACATCCTCACTGGCACTTGTTGTTTGTTGATTTATTAATGGTAGCCATTCTGGCAAGTGTGAGGTGGTACCTCATTGTTGTTTTAATTTGCATCTTTCTGATAATTAGTCACTTTGAGCACTTTTTCATATGTCTTTTGGCCATTTGTATGTCTTCTTTGAGAAGTGTCTCTTAAGGTCCTCTGCCCATTTTTTAATTGGGTTGTCTTCCTTTTGTTGAGTTGTATGAGTACTTTATATATTTTGGAAATCCCCCCTTATGAGATGTACCATTGGCAAATATGTTCTCCCATAAAGTGGGTTCACTTTTTATTTTGATGCTCGTTTCTTTTGCAGTGCAGAAGCTTTTTATTTTGATGTAGTCCCATTTGTTTATTTTTTCCTTTGTTTCTCTTGCCCTAGGCATTGTATCAGTGAAAATTCTGCTATGTGAGATTTCTGATATTTTGCTGCCTATATTTTCTTCTAGGATTTTATGGTTTCACATCTTACATTTAAGTCTTTTATCCATTTTGAGTTTATTCTTGTGTATGGTATAAGTCAGTCGTCTAGTTTCATTTTTTTGCATGTACTTGTCCATTTTCCCCAACATCATTTATTGAAGAGACTGTCTTTACTCCATTGTATGTTCTTGCTTTCTTTATCAAATATTTATTGAGCATAATGGCTTGGGTCCATTTCTGGGTTCTCTGTTCTGTTCCATTGATCTATATGCCTGTTCTTGTTGCAGTACCAGGCTGTTTTGATTACAAGTGACTTTGTAGTACAGCTTGTTATCCGGTACTGTGATCCCTCCAACTTTGTTCTTCTTTCTCAAGATTTCTGCGGCTCTTCAGAGTCTTTTTTGGTTCCATATAAATTTTTAGAGTATTTGTTCTAGATCTGTGAAGTATGCTGTTGGCATTTTAATAAGGATTGCATTAAATTTACAGATTGCTTTGGGTAGCAACATCAACATTTTAATGATGTTGATTCTACCAATCCATGAACACAGTTTATTCTTCCACTTGTTTATATCTTCTTCTGTCTCTTTTTCAATGTTCTGTAGTTTTCCGAGTACAGGTCTTTTACCTCCTTGGTTAAGTTTATTCCTAAGTATCTTAATTTTTTTGTTACAATGGTAAATGGGATTGTATTTAGAGAGTTGTAAAAGACTAGCATTTTTAAAAAGAATTTTATCCACAAATTTTTAGGATTGTATCTATGTACCTAAAGCATAATGGGATGGAATGAGCATTCCTTATAGACTTTTTCCCTCAAGTAACTCACTGTCCTGCTGAGGAGAGAGAATACTAAACCAATAACTCCCTTATCAAAGAACAGTCTACATGAAAATAATTTGTACATTGAATAGGATTTTATAGATTTTTCACTTATACTATGTAGGATAAGTTTAGCTAAAATGGAGATTCTGAATCCCACACCTAAGATTTCAGTTCAGTAGAAACGCCTCCTTCTTGTTGGTTCCTGTCCACCCGTCAGTTGTAATTATCTGGGCAAACTTATTCACCAGAAGTGTATTATGAGGCATATTGGATAATGAGTTTAAAGTTGGCATGCAAGCACTCAATGCATCATCTTGATTAATGTGTTTGAGTGAAGAATCAGAGAGGGAAGTCATGGATCACTTGAAGGATGTTTGAGTCCCAACTGTGAGCTCAGCATGACCTTGGAGAACCTAGATGATCTTTTAGGACAGAAAGGCTAGCTTAGCTCAGGTCATCAGAAGTATAACAGTATAGGATGATGGCCACATCCTTAGGACGACTAGGCCATTGGAGGTTAAGGCTAGGGAGAGGCTACACTAAGAGGCTGGGCAAATCAGATAGAATCAGGTAGCACCAATTTGCAACAGTGCACAAGGGTTCCCTTTTCTTCTCATCCTCACTAGCACTTGTTTGTTGACATTATTTTTGTTTCTTGACTTATGTTTTATTCATGGACCCATTTCTTTTTTTTGCTTTTGTTCAATTCTCGCCCAAGGAATGAGGATATTTTTTCCATTGATTTTTAGAGAGAGTGGAAGGGAGAGAGAGAGAAACATTGATGTGACTGAGACATATCAATTGTTTCCTCCTACACGAACCCTGATGGGGACAGGCATCAGACCTGCAACCCAGATACCTGCCCTTGACAGACAATCAGTGCTCTCGCAACTGAGCCACACTGGCCAGGGCAACCTCACATTACTTTTATACATTGTTTTAAACCCAAAGGACATTAACCAAAACAAATCAAGGGAGAATCCAAGATGGCGGCTGATTGAGTAGAAACTACACTGACACTCTCCAAGATCAAACTGGAATTACAACTAAAATATAGGAAAACCATTCTGAATAATCAGCTGAAGAGTAGCTGGAGAGCACCCTCATAACCAAGCACATAAAGTAGAGACCACATAGAGACTGGTAGGAAGTGTGGAGGCATGCTAGGACTGGCTGTGCTCCCACAGGCAGCAGCTGAAGGTTCAGTGGGATATCTCAGCTATGGGGGTTCCCACTGAGAATTCTTGGGCCTAAACCCCAAGTTGGGCTTCCCAGCTCAGAGCACCAGATCTGAGAAAGATGCCCACATAACATCTGGCTGTGAAAAGCAGCAGGGTGTCTGTGTTTGAGGGAGATAGAGCTGAAAATGCAGGCACCCTTTTAAAGAGCCAATACACAAAGTTTCGTGTGCAACCACTCACCTTAGGCTCTAGCAGAGGAAGGGCAGAGTGAACTAGAGCTGTGTGAGGAGAATCTAGGGATGCTGACTTGGGGAATATAGCTTAGAGGGCAGCTATGTGGATTCCTCTGCTGAGTCATTTCCCCAGGGTGAGGATATCTTTCTCTGGCAGATGTTTACTGTTCAAGCAGCTTTTGCCTAGGGGGTGGGGAGGGGGGTAAGCTATTACCCCACCCTGTTGGAAAGCCTCTAGCCCCACTTTGTGGAGTTCCTAGAGCCTGAGGCTCATTAAGACACTGAATAAGGTCAACCTCTGGGTGCTTTGATTCTTTGCCTGATTTGCTTCTGGACCCAGGGTCTTAGAAAAGCAAACCATGTTGCACATCTTGATCCATTCCAAATGCACCCAGCCCCAGCAGATGGGACCACAAGCCGTATATTTGTTGATAGCGCCAAACAGGGTACTCAAGGCCAGTCACAAAGAACATTTGACATTGGCCTGCACCAGAGACCATCTAAAACACTGGGAGTCCTAGCAGATTTACCTAATACATAGAAACAAATCCAAACATGCAACCAAAATGGGGAGACAAAAAAACAAGCCCCAAATGAAAGAACAAGAGAAGTCTCCAGAAGAAATGGAGATAAGCAGTGTATCAAATTCAGAGTTCAGAATACTGATCATAAGGATGCTCAGCTGCATGAGAAAAGATATGGAAGCTATGAAGGAAATTAAGAATGACATAGTAGGAATAAAACGTACATTGGAAGGAATAAACAGCAAATTAGGGGAAACTGAGGTTTGGATCAGCAAATTTGAAGACAGGGTAGGAAAAAATCACTCAATCAGAGAACCAAAAAGAAAAAAACACTTAAAAACCATGAGGACAGTTTAAGGGAGATGTGGGACATGAAATGTAACAATATTCATATTATAGGAATGCCAGAGGAGGTCGAAAGTAAGCGAGGGTTAGAGAACCTGTTTGATGAAATAATGGTGGAAAAATTCCCTAACATAGACAAGGTAAAAGACACACAAGTTCAGGAGGCACAGAGAATCCCAAGCAAGAAGAACCCAAAGGCCCACGCCCAGACAAATCATAATTAAAATGCCAAAAATTCAGGACAAAGAGAGAATATTAAAGGCAGCAAGAAAAAAGCAATCTATTACCTACAAAGGAGCTCCCATAAGGCTGTCAGCCGATATCTCAACAGAAACTCTGCAGGCCAGAAGGGGATGGCATGAAGTATTCAACGTAATAAAAAGCAAGGACCTGAAACCAAGACTACTCTGTCCAGCAAGCCTATCATTCAAAATAGATGGTGAAATAAAGAGCTTCCTAGGTTAAAAACAAAGGCTAAAGGAGTTTACCACCACCAAACCAGCATTGCAAGAAGTGTTAAAGGGACTGTTGTAATAAGAAGCTGAAATAGAAAGAGAAACATAGGCATAAAGAAATAAAATGGCAATAGATAAGTACATATCAAATAAGAACCTTAAATGTAAATGGATTTGATGTTTCAATCAAAAGACGTAGGGTGGCTGAATGGATAAGAAAACATGACCCAAATATATGCTGTCTACAAGAGAACCCACCTCATAACAAAAGACTCACATGGGCTGAAAAAAGAATTTCTAGAAGACTTTAAGGGAGAGATCAACAGCAATACATTCATAGTAGGGGACTTTAACACCCCACTGGCTCACCCCACTGACTTTACTGGACAGATCTTCCAGACAAAAACCAAGGAAAACAGTGACCCTAAATGACACACTAGATTAGATAGATTTAGATGACATTTACAAAACATTTTACCCCAAAACTGCAGAATATACATTCTCCTCAAGTGTACATGGGACATTCTCAAAGATAGACCACATGTTAGGATATGAGACAAGTCTCTACAAGTTCAAGAAGATTGAAATCATATCAAGCACCTTCTCGAACATTTACACCTTAGAATACTATGGAGCTGTAAAAATGAAGGATCCTTTACCCTTTGAGGGAGCATGGTGGGACCTGGAGAGTATTTTGCTAAGTGAAATAAGCCAGCCAGAGAGAGACCAGTGTAACATGATCTTACTCATATGTGGACCTAATGAACAAAATAAACCGATGAACAAAATATATCCAGAGATGTAGAAGCATGGTACAGACTGAGGAATCGCAAAGAGAAGGAAGGGCTGGGTGGGGAGAGATTAATCTGGGAACTTATATGCATATATGCATAACCCATGGACACAGTAGTGTAGTGAAGACCTGAGGAGGGGTTGGGAGTAGGGTGGAGGGTTTCTGTGGGGGAGATAAAGGTGACATTTGTAATGCTTTTAACAATAAAGATAAATTTTAAAAAATAAAGCAAATCAAAGCACTGAGGTTGACACTCTTTGCAATTTTATCCTGTTTTCCTTCTGTGCTGGTGAAAAATTCACCTTTTGATCATTCCACTGACCTCTAGAAAGGACAGAAAGCATCTTGGATAATTCAACCTTAGCTGGACTGGGAGAACCTACAGAACCCAGAACTGTTGGTAACCATTTTTTATTGTTGTTAATCCTCACTGGAGAATATTTTTTCTATTAATTTTTACAGAGAGTGGAAGGGAGGGAGAGAGAAAGAGGGAGAGAGAGAGAGAGAAACATGGATGTGAGAGAAACACGTTGATTGGTTGCCTCCCATACTCTCCCCTACTGAGGCCAGGGATTGAACCTGCAATCCAGGTACCTGCCCTTGACCAAGAATCAAACCTGTGACCCTTTGGTATGTAGGACGAAGCTTTAACCACCGAGTCACACCGGCCAGGACCCATTGGTGACCTTTGAGGAGTTGCAGGGTTTTCTGTTCAGCACTGCTGCCAGACAGGAGCAGGTCAGAGCATCAGCTTACATGCACCTGCCCTCAGCTCGGTGCCCTTCACTGGGTTCCTCTACCTGGGCAGGAAACAGGATAAAGGAAGAGGAAGCTGTTCATGTCCTGAAAGATTGCTGTCTCCAGCCTTGCACAGAAAGGTCACCTTCCAGTGAGTTTTGAGATCACAAATATTCTCTTGGGCACCTTTCCAGTGGGCCTCTCAGCACTGGTAGGTGTTTGTGCTCTCTCAGCACCCAGGAGTTGAAATGGGATTGAGAGAGGGAAAAGTAACAGGCTCAGCAAGAGGGGAGATGGATGATACAACCATTTTCTGTGTCCCAACATGCTTTCTATCTGATGTTTTTATACTGCCTTTCCCAGTCTGCCTGTCCTTCCTGTAGAGGTGTAGAGGGCTTGGTGATGGCCATGTGGGGCAGTGTTTGCCAATGACTGTCTGAAGGTTTAGTTTGGCATAGTCTCTCTTGGTGCCTAGAATCTATGTTAGCGGTCCATCAAGACAGCCTAGGTTTCCACCAATAGTTTCAGCCGCACTTTATAATAAAGGTTTTCTCTTTTTCCTTGCTTATTGCAGTTGAGGATGTGATGGTCCTGTTGAGCTTATGGGGCCTTGTTTGTGCATCCAGGGCTCTTGGCGTTGCCCTGCATCTTACAGATGCTCCATAGATGGGAATGCCTTGGAAGGACACACGTCAGCCCGCAGGGATTTTGGCTCTGAGTGGGAGCAGCTCCCAAAGTCACAGCTCTAACCTAGGTACCAGTCATGCCAGAGCTGGACTGCTGCTGGGATTCAATCAGGTGTGCCTGCACAGATGTCCAGGGTGCTCCCATCCAGCACTCCCTGCCATGCATGCACCTTTTCTGCTGCACTGCCCCCCCTGAACCTGAGCCTATTTGTCCTCTTGCGGGTGGTCATTTCTGGGTGTGCTATGTATGGAGAGTGCGTGTGTCTCTGTGTCCTGCACACTGCACATTGCTGCCTGTTCCAGATTGCCAGCTCCCTGGTCACAGGGGCTGCTTTTGTTTTTTCTCTCTGTGGAGGACAAACATTAAATTATCAAAATACTGAGATGAAATCCTCCAAACCAGCTGTAAACAAGAACCCCTTCATTTCTGTACCCATATTGTAAGAGGAGGAGGAGTTCACCTGTACAGGAGTGCTTTCACTGTGGGGGTGTGAGTGGATCTTTTGGAGAAGGGATAGACTACCTTTCCTCTGTGAGGTTAACTTCTTTAATCAGCTGCAGAGAGAATAAACAGGCCTCTGTGTCTGGGCTGTGCTATCGCAGGATCACATGCCCCCGGCTGTGTTCCAGATTTGGGCAAGGCTTTTCATGAGGTGAATGGAAAAAAGCTCCCTGTGCCGCCCAGCTGGGCCACAGTCCCCTCTTATGCCTCCAACATGGCTCAGCCGGGGGACCAGTGTGCCTAACCTTTAAAGAAATCATTTCCTTTTCTCTTTTGTTTTCTCCATTTCTTGAGGGGCTATTTCTCTGTCTTCCTCGTAGACCAACAGCAGAAAGCCAGTTCTGTGTCCCTGTCAGAAAGGGAAGAACATTTCAGGAAGTAGACATTCTTTCATTTTTAGTGAAATCACTTACAGTGGTTTTCTCTCCTCTTCCTTCTTCTCCTCTCATCTGTACCATGTTAAATTTAAGGGGTACCTGTCGTGATTGTCAGGATCCTTCTTGAGTGTGAAATAGAGATTAAGTTTCCTTGTCATAGGAGGAGGTACTGTGGCAAGAATGACCCCATCCAGGCCCGCAGGCACCTGAAGGTCCTTTGCTAGTGGCCTATCAGCTTGAGCCTGGGGACACAACAAAGGGTGGATGCATGTAGCTGTGACTTTTATAGTGGGTGCTGGGGAATTGCTGCAGGACTCTGAGCTGAGGTGGTGTGATCAGGGTCCTGTTTTAATATATTTTTTATTTTTTAACTTTTTAAAAATCCTCACCTGAGGATATTCTTTCCATTGCTTTTCAGAGAGAGTGGAAGGGAGGGGGAGAGAGAGAAACATCAATGTGAGAGAGACACATCGATTGGTTGCCTCCCACATACGCCCCAACCAGGACTGAGGATTGAGCCTGCAACTGAGGTATGTGCCCTTGGCTGAAATTGAACCTGGGACGCCTCTGTGGGGAGACAGTCTAAGCACTGAGCAAAACCAGCTAGGGCAGGGTCCTGCTTTTAATATTGTTGTTATTTTGTTTTGTTTTTGTTAATCCTCACCTGAGGATATTTTTCCATTGATTTTTAGAGAGAGTTGGAGAGTGTGGAAGGGGGTGGAGAGAGAGAAATATCGCTGTGAAAGAGACACACTGATTGGTTGCCTTCCACACATGCCCAACCAGCTCGGGGATCAAGCCTGCAACCCAGGTACATGCCCTTGACTGGGAATTGAACCCACAACCTTTGGTGCGCGGGGCGACACTCTAACCACTGAGCAAAACCTGCCAGTGCTCTGCTTTTAATTTAAAAAAAANGGTGCGCGGGGTGACGCTCTAACCACTGAGCAAAACCTGCCAGTGCTCTGCTTTTAATTTAAAAAAAAATTTCATTGTGATAAAATACACATAACATTTACCACTTTAACCATTTTAAGTGTTCAGTTCGATGACATTGAGTACATTCACACTGTTGTACAACCATCACCACCATCCATCTCAAAAACTCTTTTCATCTTGCAAAACTGAAACTCTGTCCCCATAAAACAACTCCCAATTTCCCTCCCAAATCCCTTGACAGCCACCATTCTCCTTTCTGTACTTTCTGTCTCTGTGGATTTCACAGCTCCACCTTACAAAGGGTCACCCTGGTAGTGACAGGAAATCTGCAGGAGGAGGCCAGTGAGGAAAGGAGAGTGTCAGAACCCAAGTTGGAAGTGATGGCCCGAGCTAAGCATATAGCAGAGGAAATGGATTTTTTTGAGAGATGTGAATGTAATTGAGAAGACTTTTGTCACTAATGGAAAGTGGGTGAGGTAAGGGAGAGAGGTAGGGACCAAGGATGCTTCTTGTGGTACTAAGTTGGGTGTTCTTATCAAGATGGGAAGCTAGGAAGAGGAACAGGTGTTGGAGTAGAGAGACATGAGTTTATGACAGGTTGTGAGATGTCTGAGGAAGTGTCCAGTGCACAACTGTAACTGTAGGCCTGGAGTGGGAGCTGTGCTCTGTGTAAGGTCTCAGCATCTTGGTGGTACTCAAGCCCTAGGAGCTGATAAGCCCTCCTGGAAAGTCTGGACACAGGGAGGCCATGGGTGCAGCCTGGAGCACCATCACCCAGAGAGAGCTTGGGCAGGAGGAGAGTCTGAGAGGAGGATGGAGATAGGGAACTAGCAAGTTCATTTGAAAATGCTTTTTAACTGTTTGACTGCATCTGTGTTTTGCTACATGAAGCTTACAACACTGAAGAAACCCTGAGCCCAGCATCCCTGCTGTACAGTGAGATAAAGCTCATCTGACACAGACACACTTCCAGTTCTTATCATTCTGATCTTTAAAAAAGGTGAAATGTTTTTATAAGAATTCAGTGATTAAGGCAGGAGACAAGTAATTGAGGTGAGGCATTGATTTACAATTTATTTTGAAAACAGGTACCATCCTCTGTCATTTTCTAAGAGCGCTGAGCAACTGTGACCAAGTCAGGCTGAGAGCAAGAGCCTTTGAAGTATAGCTATGTGTGGACCAGCCACGTCTTCTACACAGTGTCCTAGGAGAAATACATTTTGTTTTCCTTTTCCGTTGGAGTCATTTTAAAATGGATACTTCTTGTAGTTATTTGGTAACATGAGGTTCTACCAATTTTCACCCATGTATAAAGGAGAAACAATCTACAAGCAACGCTTGGGAAAGTTTACTACAGTGTGTGAGGTATCGGGTTGTGTTCAGCAGTGCTGTCTATGGACATCTGATAATTCTCTCTGGGAATCTTCAAGAATGGTTCCTCAAAGTCAACCAAGAAAACCAGAGCCAAATGTTTCAGTATTGGGCTGAACAAGCATTTCCGTCAGGACCTGCTCCTGAGGACAGACTCTTCTGTCCTACATTGTGAACCCAGGTCTAGGCTGTGGAGGGGTTCCGGGGCTGTGCAATTTATAGGTGAGGTTCAACTGGGGAGGCTGCTCTTTGAAACTCAACATGGGAAAGTTAAGGAAAAGCCAAAGTTTTGGAAGATCCTGTCAGTCTTTTCTAATGGACACAGTAGAATTGCAGGACCTATAGTGACTGTCCTGAGAAGAGGTGGCTCAGCAGGGTGGCTGGGTTGGTGTGAAGTCTATACAACTGATAGCAGTGAAATCCCCTAGAGATTAGGGGTTTGGGAATGGATGTAATGTACAGGATGGTGGTCTGAACCTCTAAATTTCAATTCCTTTATTGGACATGCTTCTTTAAACAAAACCATGCAGTCTGGTGCTGGAGTTCCTTCTTTTTCTTTCTCCTTTGTGAATTAGTACTCTGTTTCTCAAGCTTGCTGTCACTGGGAGCTGAGTCCAAGGCCCTTCCCAGAGGAATCTGACCATCTGACATGGGTGAACAGGGTCTGCAGAATGATGCCCAAACTCTGGAGCTATCTGTTGACTGTCTTCACTCCTGTCTCATAAGGTGAATCCCCCGTATTTTGTCCCGCTGGTGGAGTTGGTCCCACACCCAGAGACAGCCCCTGCGACAGTGGACAGGACCTACACCCTGATGCAGAAGATCAGACAGTCCCCTGTCAGGATCCTGAGGGAGGTCGACGGATTTGTCCTGAATCGCCTCCAGTTTGCGGTCATCAGCGAGGCCTGGAGGCTGGTGCAGGTACTTGGGCTGCTCCGGTCAGTGGGGACAGTAGTAGGGACAGTCTGAGGGAGGGTGGAAGTAGCCAAGGGATGAGCTTGATGGGTGGAGGGTGGAAGTGGGGAGCAGAAGCCGGGCCAATGTGAGTAGAGGTAGAAGAGCGGATGAGCAAGGGGTGGGATTGGGGATGGTTACTAGCTGAGAGGGGAGGCAGAATGGAAACAGCTTCCTGGGTGCCATGGCTGCAGTCAGGTTTCCTCACTGGAGAGTGCTAGCTGTTCTCTCAGGTGCAGTGAAAAGGCAACGAAAGTAAACCGTCAGCACAGCATTCATTGTTTCAAAGATACTCTGTTACACGGAATCATCTGATATCGGACAAGGTGATAGACTGTTTCTTGACCCTACTTACCATTATCACATAACTGTCTCTGGGTCACATGCTGCATTTCCCATAGACTCAGACCCTGTGCCCCCAGTGTTATCATTTTCAGAAGGAAAAAAGTTTCAGAAGTTTGCAGTTTTAATTTCTTAGCAATTTTAGAATGTCTTTGAACATCAGTTGGTGATAGGACATTTGAAAGAAACACTGAACTAAAAGCACCCCTTTGGAGAGCTATTTAAAATATTTCCACTTATCTAGAGTAGGGGAACAATATAATAGGCACAAGAAAAATTCAATATAACAGTAAAACATTGTGAGAAGAGCCATGGAGGATTCTGCTGTCCTCTTCACTGGTTGGAGAGGTGGGAAGGTGGAGTGGTCATGGAATTTGGCTGCTCTGTCAGTTATTGCCTCATTTTGCCCACCCTTCTTTCAACTTTCCGGTCTCCAGGGGCTAATGACAGACAGAGTGTGGTCTGCTGGTTTTCGGGGATGATACACCTGAGAAAGGGAATCCTGCATGTGCCTCTGCAGTGATTGCTGTGGGATGCCCATGCATGGAGTTCCCATAGGAACCTAGTACTGAGATCCCACGGGATACAGTGTGAATGTGACAAAATGAGAAGAGGCTACAGAAATGAGATTAAGAAAGTGTGGATAGAACTCAAAGAACTGTCTTCGGTGGACGTCTTGGAGATAATTCACTTTAAAAAAAATTAAGTTGAGCTTTGGCCGAGTGGCTCAGTTTGTTGGAGTGTTGTTCTGTGTACCAAAAGGTTGCTGGTTTGAGTCCTGGTCGGTGCATATACTTACATTGCAGGTTCAATTCTTGGTCCGGAGACAGCACTGTTTCTTTCTCTCTTTCCCCCTTCCTCTCTCTCTCAAATAAATTTTTAAGAAATCCTTGGGTGAAGATTAAAATAATTTTTAAAAAATAAAGTTGATATTCAGACAGTGAGAATGAAGGCAGATCTAGAAACCACAGGTCTCTCTGTCCAGGTTGGGGTGAGGGTGGAACAGAAGAGCTATGGAGCATCCCTGAGCTCTGCTGGGAAGACTTACAGTGATAGTGAAGTGTCTCTCCTATGGGGGTCAGGTTTCAAGGGGAGGAAATATGGAAGGAGGTATTGCACCTGCTTTTGCTATCATTACTCAGGGACAGCTGCTTCTTTGGCCTCCCCAGACACGAGAGGGCCACTAGCACACTAGACATGCACCCGTTCCCATAGTAGTTGCTTACAAGGGCAGAGAAGTTGTGGGTCTCACTCCACCAGTGCAGGATACATCCTGTTGAGCACATGGCCACTTGTGATTCCTACACCCCAATAGAGATATCACCCCCTTCCTCACTCCCTCTGGGAAGAGTGGATCAATGTTTCTGCTTATTAGGGGGGCTGGTTTAAGGATTCTTGACATTATTGCATGAATTTCTTGAAAGAAGACCTTTGCTTCTTGGGGGTCTATTTCCACTTCAGGTATTGAGTCAGGAAAGGTGAGAATGTCCCCTCAGAGCCACCCCTTCATCTTTGCACATCTTTGCACAGTGTGTGCATGGAGCCAGCCAGGGCTGGGCTTAGATGACACCCCTTTGACTCACAATTTCAGAGCCAGTTAAACTTGATTAGATTTGGAGTGTTCCAAATTAATCTCAAGACATTTAGGGGCAGCTTTATTGTAAAAAGGAGCTGAATCTGGGAACTTTTACAGTAAAAACCGAAGATTTTTGTATATATTTTAAGTTAAAAAGGTCAAAAGACCTTGCAAACTTTATATTTTCATGACATGCTCTTTCTGGGAGGGGTTTCATGTGTGGTTGGAAGCCCCTGTGAGGCTCAGCCTCGATGTGGTGAGCGGAGTGAGCTGAGATGAGCAGGAGTTGCCCTATTCAAGGACTCACATGGGTGCCTCTGGTTCATTACTTTCTGGATTCACAAAGCATGTTGAAATTTGGCAGAGAATTTTCTCTTTGACCCCAGCCAGGGCTGGTATGCTATCCAGCCTGGGTGGGAAAAATACAAGATGACTTGATTCCAAAGCTCTTAAGGCATCTTATATAGTAGATAGGGGCCTGTGTGCTTCTGCCCTGACTTTTTAGGTGCTGGTCAGCAATGGATCAAGGAGTGCTGTTCCCTACTGGCTGTGTAAACAGCAGCACAAACCTAATCCAACCATGGATTTCCAGGGGCCCCACCTCCACATTGGTGTCTGAGCTGGAGTGGGACAGGCAGGGGCCTGCCCCAAATGACGGCCTGCATTTCCACCCAGCCCTGGAGGTGTCCTGATATGGGTGTCAGAGAAGCAGAGGAAGCTGCTTTGCCTCTTGCTAACTCTGTTGATGCAGAGGATACTTTGATTGACATTCCCATGTTGAACAGCCTTGCGTGCCTGGAATAAATCCCACTTGGTCTTGGTGTGTCATTCTTTTTAGACATTGCTGGATTCAGTTTGCTTATGTTGAGAATATTTTGCATCTAAGTTCAGAAGAGATACTGGTCTGTAGTTTTCTTTCTTGTTTTACTATCTTTGTTTTATTTTGATATGAAGGCAATACTACATAGATATTAAGGTGATAATGTATAAAATGAGTTGGGAAGTTTTCTGTCCTATTTTCAGGAAGAGATTGTAAAGTTTTTGTTAATTATTCTTTGTTTGTTAGAATTCTCCAGTGAAACCACCTAAACCTGGAGAGTTTTTTTTCAGGAGGTTTTTAATTACAAACTCCACCTCTTTAATGGTTCTAGAACCATTCAGGTTTTCTGTTTCATCTTGGTTGAGTTTTGGTTGTTTGTGGTTTTTGAGAAATTGGTCCATTTCTTCTGAGTTGTGGAATTTATGAGTATAAAGTTGTTGGTGGAACTCTCTTATTATCCTTTCAGTGGCTGCAGGGTCTGTAGTGATAGCCCTAGTTTCATTCCTGATGTGGTGTTGTGTCAGCTCTCTCTTTATCCTTGTCTCTTTCTAGAGTTTTATCAATTTTGTTGATTTTTTTTGAAGGTGCAATTTTTTGTTTCATTGACTTTCTCATTGGTTCTTCTGTTTTCAACTTCACTTACTAACTCTAGAGGGCATATTTTAATACTTGCAACCAAGCATGAAAGAGAAATTTTAAGAAAGATAGGGCAGGGAGGCTCCTGTGCTGGCCTGTCAACTGTGGGTCTCAAGAGGGGAGCCAAGCCGCAGGTTTCATTTCTAGGGAAAGGGAAAGTGCTAGGAATAAGAAGCACTTTGTCTTGACTGCATCCTAGACCTTGACACACTGTCTTCTCATCGCCGGTGAGTGAATCTGTCCCCACACAGCTTCTCAAGGGCAGGGACTGTCTGGGAGCAAGATGGGCTCCCAGAAATCTGAGGGAATTTGGGAGCTGGGTTCTATTGTTGTCTGACAGACCTCACTCTGTTTTTTCCTGTCCAGTTGGCTTCAGAATCAGGATGAAGCTGCCCTTGTAAGCTTGGAAATGGCAGATGGACAAGTCTGGCTGCAATTGAGCAACCCAAGATTGTGTTACTGGGTGACAGGATCCTGTTGGCCAGGAATGTGACTTTATGTGATATTCTTAAGCTAATTAGCACAATCCAGGAAGTTGTATTGTAGTGATAAACTCTCCCAGACAATAGCTGAGCTTGTACTACCCATAAATCCTTGCTCCATAGAGGGTGAGTAAGTGGAGGTGAGCACGCATGAGTCATGGGGCCACGAACAGGTTCTCAGTTTGTCTGATGTGCCTGTGACGATATGTGAAAAGTGCTGAGCTCAGATCTTACTCATCCTTCTGAGCAGTGTGATCCCTATGCTGGATCTCTGTTGCCCAGAGTCCTGAGCTGCACAAGCTCAGTTCATGGTTTCTTGTCAGTGAAGGGTGGTCTTTGGGACCCAGATGGGACCCTTTGAGATTCCAGAACTTTTTCTTTGAGCTTTATTTTCAGACATGGATGCCAAGTGTATGAGAAATTTTTTCAGGTAATAAAATAGATCCCAAAGATCATGTAGTAATATTAATAGATGAGGCTCTTGGTGGTAAATGCAGTTGGGGTTTCTGTTGAGTGTAATTCATGAGAGTGACCTAGGAATCAGGACTCAACACCAGAAACCACCTGGGATCCTTTATTCATCATTTCAGTTAACAGAGTACTTTACTTTCTTAGGATTTTCAGATATTTTCTAATCATTCAATCTTAAAACCATGCTATTTTTGCCTTTACAAATGAAGACACTAGCCCAGGAAGTTAGATTGTCTAATCCATATTCCACAGACAGGCAGGGATTCAAATCTGTGCCACCTCTGTGCTTCTGTGTCTGTATTTATAAGTGGAGGTGACAATGGATATGACCTGGGATATGATGAGGATTGGATGGGGTTTTATATATATATGTTTAGGCCTGAGAACTTGCCTCACATATAGTACAGTTTAGTAAATATAATGGATTATCATGATAACATTGGTGATGACAATGTTTTCTGAGTCCTTTAAAACAATTTTTGTGTGCAACAGCTGTCTCCCCTGAGGTAGCGCTGGGCTGAAATGCGCACATCCTAGCTACACCAGTGACGTCCAGGTGAGATCCGGGACTTGTGGATGGCAGTGTGGGCCTGGGAGCTTGTTGGAAGTGCAGCATCTCAGGTCCCATCCTGGACCTACA